GAACAATTTCAGTTTAACGGCCGTTTTTTGAAAGTAACCTAACTGTTCAGTGAGCAATTTTCCCGCAAAAACTTTTAATCACCTGTTCGTGAGAATCTAGAGGATGAATTTGAAATATTTAAGTTGTACTTGGATAAGGAACAATTCCCCTAAAATTTCAGCTTTTCCGGTTCCTGAGTTAATAACTTCCTCGTCAAAACTTTCACATGCTCGTATTTGGGTATCCAATGTATCTGGGGAGGGGGCTGGATTTGAAATCTTTAAATTGTACCTTGACGGAAAATAACCCCTTAAAACAGCCTCCCAGCTTTTCCGGTTACCGACTTAGCAATTCTCCCGCCAATTCTTCCACCTTACCGTACGTGAAAATCATGAGCTCCTAGGGGCTGAATTTGAAACCTTTAGCTCACACATGCGCAGAGAATATTCATGCGAACTTTCAGCTCTCTACCTTGTCTGGTCCCCAAGATCGTTTTCCCGCCAAAATTTTGTATATCTTTTAAGGCGTCCTTATGTGGGACCCAGGCGTACGCGGATGATGATATTAAAACGGGAGGGTAACACATGGTATGGGTACATACTCCCGAAGTTTCAGCCTTCTAGCTTGCTTTTCCGGTCTCGAGTTTAAAGTGGGTGACAAAAAGTGCGGACACACAGACACACAGACACACACACACACAGCCTCTTGCCAATATGCATTTTTACGCATTTTGTGCTGTGTTGCAGCAGTACAAAACGCATATTACCACTCGATTGTCTGTGTGTGTGTTTGTGTACGTATGTATGCGTGTGTGTCCGCATTAACTTGTCCGCAACTTTCAACTCGGGAACCACAAAAGCTAGGAAGCTGAAAATTTAGGAGAACGTTCATCTCATCCACGTGTGACCTCGCAAATTTAAGTTCAGCCTCTCCGTACTCGCCGGTAACAAGTACGGCTCAGTAAAGGTCTGGGCGGGTAAAATTATTACCACGGGAACTACGGAAGCTAGAAGGCTGAAATTTTATGGGCATGTTCCCTGCTCACATGCGACCCAGAAAATTTAAACTCAGCCTTCTCCTGCCCGCGAGTAACGCAAACGGCCCTGTGAAAAAATTGGCGGGTAAATTATTATCTCGAGGACCACGGAATCTACGAAGCTGAGATTTTACAGTAATGACTCCCTGCCCATGAACGACCTTGCATATTCAAATTCGGCGTTCATGCGTTTTTGGACATCACCTACATCCCCGTGAAAATTTTGGCAGGTAAATTATTACCTAGGGAACCACGGAACCTAGGAAGCTGAAATTTTACAGTGATGACTCCCTGTCCACGTACGACCTTGCAAATTCAAATTTAGCGTTTCCACGATCTCGGATATCACCTACAGCCCTGTAAAACTCTGACGGGGAAATTATTATTTTGGGAACCATAAAAGCCAGGAAGCTGAAATTTCAGGTAATGTCCTCTTTCCACATACAATCCTGCAGTTTTAAATTCAGCCTTCCCGTGCGTCCGAGTATCACCTACGGCCCCGCAAAAGTTTCGGCGAGGGAAATTATTACCTACAGGACTGCGGAAGTTGGGAATCTGAAATTTTCCTCTACCAGCGTACGACCTCGCAGATTTGGATCCAGCCTTCACGCACCCCTGAGTACCATGTACGGTCCCGTGAAAGTTTTAATAGAGAAATTATTATCTCGTGTGCGTGAAATTCCGCAAATTTGGAACCAGATAACATTCCAACTATTAAAGTGTAAAGCAGTGAAAATCATTAGCAGGCAATGTTCGGTGGACTGGACTGCACAAAACGCATGATCGCACCGATTGCCCTAGTGCGCGCCGCTATTTATTGCATTTGCATATATGCAACAACGCGTAGTAACGGAAAAATAGGACAAGGTGGGCGAGGCGGGAGGAGGGGTGGGGACTACTGGAATAGAACATAAGAAAGGAGGCAGGGGGAGGAGCTGTACGAGCCTTACGGATTTGGTTATAAGCTGCGAAACCTATGGTACCCGGTTCTTCGTCCAAAGTTTCGCGCCAAAGACTGCCAACTTCTTTTCATCAGAAAATTTCTTGCTGAGCATAAAATTGCCCGTCTATAAGACCCATCTTGTTTCCAGTTCCTACCTCCAAGCGAGGTTAAGGTTCCTTTTCAGTTTAATACCCCTCCCCTTCCTCCCCATCTCCACTCCACCACAATCTCTCACACGGCCCTCCCCTTCCCCCCATCCCACCCACCCTTGCCCCCCCCTGCCTCCCACTGCTGCAACCTACCCCTGAAAGCCCACTAGGTCGAGCCCAACCCCAGCACTCGGGCAATTACAAAAACTCGGCTCGGCTGATGGCCGGTGGTGTTTGGGCTTTCCAGCGCTTTGCTCTAACATCTCTGCCAACAATATTTCGCGGCGCCATTCGCTGGAACTTTGCCAGACGCGCTGGGTAGCGTTGCCCAGTGTCTGGCGACTGGATCGCGTGGCCCCGGGGAGGAGGGGGGGAGGGGTGATGGGTGGGAGAGTTGGACGTGGTTGAGGGTGTTGGTTGGTAGTTGCCCAGATACAGCCCAGAAGGCGCGATTGAGGCCAGGATAGTGGGGAGGAATGAAGTTGTTGGTTAGGAGTTCAGGACGATAAACGGTGATAATAGCTGGTGGTGATGGGTATCTCGATGCAGCTCTGGAGGCAGGGTTTGGGGCCAGAATACAGGAAGGAACAAGGGTGATAGTCACGAGTTCGAAGCAAGAACTGCAGGCAGCAGTAAAGAGGAAAATAAAACAACACAGCATCACAAAGAAAAGTAAATTAAAACAAAACTGAACTTATGAATAAAAGAAAATAAATAGCAATGCGCACCG